CGCCCCGGGACCGCGCCGCGCGCTCGCAGGCGCTCCGGACGCCGCGGGGGGTCGGGAGGGAGGCGCGGAAGGCCGCGCCCTGCTTTCGGGGTTTCTGCTGCGGCGGTTTGGGGAGCCGCGGGTTGAGAAGGGGGCACCAAGAATGCAGAGTGCTCCGATGAGCGCCAGCTCCCCTCCGGCCTCCCCTCCACTGCCGCCGCCGCCCCGAGATCACGCCCCTCGTCGCGCAGCCTCGGCGGCCGTCCCCGGAGTCCCTGGTTTCTGTCCCGGAGGAGGCGCGAGGCGCAGGGCGGGCTGGAGGTTGGCACCGGCCGCGGCCCCAGCGCGCAGCCCGCCTTCCGCCCGGCGCTTCTCCGGAAGCCGAGGGAAGAGCCCTAGAGCGCGGACCCGACCCCAGCCGCACCCCGGGGTGTGTCTGCCACCCCAGGGCCCGAGCTGCCCCCCGGAGGCGCCTGGGGGCGGAGTGCGGGCGCCTGCCTAGCCCTCCCGGCGCAGGGATCTGGTCGCGCCGGGAGGTCGGTGGCCCGGGTGGGGGCACGGGTGTTGGGGTCCTCTGAACCCCAGGCATGGGCCGGGCACGAGAAGGTAACTGCAAGAAAGGGGTTAATCTGAAAATAGCTCCATTCTTTGTTCTTTCTATATTAAGCAAATCATCCCGCTCACCTCTGGATAAATCAGAAAACAGCCAAGATTTACCGAGTTAGGCAGCAGGTCCTACTTCAGAAACCCTTTCTACCGCCTCCCTAGCTCTCTGTTTTCTCAAAACAACTACTACTGGCTGTGTACCTCTCTACACAGCTTCTCCGGGAAGGTTAGAAAAAACAGATCTTCTCCTTACCAGGACGTTCTATTAGCATTCCATGTTCTTTGCATTTCCACGTCAATTTTAGAATCAGTTTGTCAAGTTCTACCCCCAAAAGAGCTTGCAGGGGTTTTGATCAGGGTTGCATTGGATCTGTTTTGTCAAATTTATTCCTAAATATTTCATATTTTTTATGCTATTGTAAATGTTATTTTTAAAAATATTTTATTTATTTAATTTAGAGAGAGAGCGCGCGCGATCGAGCGAGCAGGGGGAAGGGCAAAGGGAGAGGGAAAGAATCCCAAATAGGCTCCCCGCTGAGCAGGGAGCCCGACCTGGGGCTGGATCTCAGGACCAGGACATGCTGACCTGAGCGGAATCAAGAGGCGGTGGCTTAACCACTGAGCAACCCAGGTGCCCTGTAAAAGTTACTTCTTAATTGAATTTCCAAGTGTTTAATGCTAGTATATAGAAATACAATTGATTTTTGTACATTGATCTCTTACTCTACTAAACCTTGATACTGGATTTCTAGCTCCCAGAACTGTGAGAAAATAAAGTTTTGCTGTGTTGAAGCACCCAATTTGTGGAAATTTGTTACAGCAGCCCTAGGAAATGAATACAAAGATATTGCAATCCTCAACTGTAATTGTGGATTTGTCTATTTCTCCTTGTAATTACATCAATTTTTGTTTCATGTATCTTAAAGCTCTGTTTTTAGATGAATAAACATATAGGATTGTTGTGTCCTCTTGAGAAACCAACACCTTTCTCTTTATGAAATGACCTTCTTCACCCCTGATGACATTCTTTCTGTTACAGCTTTTTCTACCTGTTTACTTTTAGCCTATTTGTGTCTTATGTTTAAAGTGCATTTCTTATGGCAGGCAGCCTTTGAACCAGCAGGCTACCCTTCAGGTACTGGAATGTGTTCTCCTGTTCCCTTATTATCCTCGATGAGCTCTCTAAGGCTGTCTCTGATCTGTGTACTAACACATCACCCAGTCATTTATCTCATTTATCTTGCTTTCTTTTCCCATATGATAGTCACTGCTTTGACTTTATTCTTTTTGTTTACTATTTTGAGGCTTCATTTGTATGTCTTTTTAAACGTAGGGAGGTTTTTTTCCCCCGGTAGTTTCATGTACTATTGACAAGTTTTTAGTAAAAATCAGAGACCTGGAATGGCTACATATGATCTCCCTCTAGTGGCCACATTGAATAATGTTATGAAATTCAAACTGTTGTTTCAGAGCACAACCTCTCCCTGGCAAGCTATGCCTATTAAACAGTTGTGTCAACCTCTTATTAATATGACTTTAGTGCTTCCCACAGCAGTGAATAAGCCCCTCATGGTCCCAAGAGATGCCCAGTGTTTAAATAGTCCAAGAAGGGAAACTTGGCAATCTTGAAACCTGACAGTATAGTAGCCACCCAAAATAATTAACTGCTATGGTGTTATTAATACCTTAATAAGTAATTCAGAAAATATATAATGGTTGACGTAGGATAGTCATGGAAAATAAGGAATGAAAATGATGACTTTCAAAAACATTCAGAAGACAAATAGAAAGCCTAAAATAAAGTGACAGAAATAAACATTTTAAATATGTGTAGTCATTCCTTTGCAGCTTCCTTTGAATCTATAATTATTTCAACAAAATTTAACGTATCAGTGGTCATGATAAATGGACATGGATCCAAACCCTCTAGCCAAAAGAATCAAGATTTTTCTTAAAAAAGGAAAAAAATAAAATATGGACGTTTACAGAGAACGTACATAAAACATACAGAATGGAGAAAAGTAAAGGGCTAGAAAAAGATTAACTAAGAGAATACAGACCAAATGACACCAGGTATTGCTTTGTTCCTTTAGGGGGAAAAGACTTTAAGGTGAAAGCATTAATGCAGATAAAGAGGATCACAACTTAAGGATTAAAAGTTAAATTTACTAGGGAGGAATAACAATTCAAATCTTGTATTCCTTTAAAATTAAAACCCTAAAATATGTAAAGGAAAATTTGACAGAGCTACAAGGAGCGATTGATAAGACAACCAGTAACGTGGCTATGATTTTATATGGCAGACAATCGTTACAATCATATTTCTGCTAGTATAATTACTACTACTTTATATGATGAAATTCTGTATACCTATATTTCATACTGCTCCACAAAAACTATGGAAAAAGTTGAGAACTGTTGCACTAGAAATTGAAGCACATTATTTCCTATTGATTGAACAACTATTATGTTTAAGGTATCATGGTATCTTCTATATGCTAAAAGAGTAAGCTGTTGTACTTATTTCGTTTAGCCATTTAAAAATGTGTTAGCTGGGGGGGTCTGGGTGGCTCAGTCAGTTAAGCGTTTGACTCTTGATTTTGGCTTGGGTCATGATCTCAGGGAGATGGAGCTCTGTGCTGATGATGGAACCTCCTTAGGATTCTCTGTTTCCCTTTGGTCTGCCTCTCCCCAACGCTCCCCCCCCCCACGTTCTCTTTTCTCTCTCTAAAAAAAAAAAAAATGCAAAAGCTGGAGTTTCATAGAGCATTGTAGGGAAAACTATAGCTTTCTCTAACTATAGTTATAGCCCTGAAGTTCCTCCCTCCCCCATCTCTCTCTCTCTCTGTCAATTAAGTCTGTGTCTCCTTCTTAAATAAATAAATGTGCTTGATGGAACAAGCAACAGTAAAGAATTTCGAAAATTATGATATGTCTTTGGTATATTTTCTTTTAAAACTAAGAAAATACTATAGCAAGTACAAATATTGGCTCAGAAACTCAACTGTGCAAGGCAACCTAATTTCTATTAAGAGACTCCATTCTGTCACGTGGTGAAAACAATTTGGGTCCCTTTTTCTCTTCCCATTTGGCAATGATTTACATATAAATCCCAGGGATTTCTATAGTACTAAAGATGGGAAGGGAGGGGCATATGGTCTGGATCTTCACCTATCCATGCGGGCATCAGCTGCCAGGTCCTTATCCCCTTCTGGTCTTCGGTCACCACTCCATCAAGGTCATTCTTGACATTTGCCTCATTTCCAACCATGACACTCTCCAGGTCTGGCTTGTTTTCAGCTAACTTGGTTGTCCTTGGATACAAAATGCTGTTCTGCTTCTCCCAGGCCACACTGTGGCAGGAGAAGCTAATGCGGGCTCTCAAAGCTCCTTTGAACCAGCAGGCTACCCTTCAGGTACTGGAATGTGTTCTCCTGTTCCCTTATTATCCTCGATGAGCTCTGTAAGGCTGTCTCTGATCTGTGTACTAACACATCACCCAGTCATTTATCTCCTGGCTTCTTGCTGCCTCTCTGAGCTGGAGGAGAGTACCGCACCCCTATTTCTCAAGGACCCACACTGACCTTCCTTTCTCCCCAGGTTTGGGGAAACTTGATGTAATCTTTGGAAGGATGGGGTGGGCAGGAAAATTTGCTTTTCTTCAGGTATTCTACCAAATCTACTTTTTATACTTGAAATCCTTCTCTTCTTTTGGAAATTCTAATTCTAATGCTAAGAATAGTTTTCATTTTCTCTGCTTTCTGAATGTTTTTCTTTTCCCCTGAGGCCATGACACAGAATGTCTATCTATCTGCATGAGAAA